TGTGAGAAGGAGTTGCTGCAGTGGAGTAAAGACGCATTTGGATCCCTGAAAGAGAGGCGGAGGAAGACAGAAAGAGCCCTAGCTAGATTGGAGAAACAACCCCCAACAAAAGTAGTGAATACACATCGGAAACTGCTTCAGAGGGAACTTGATGAAATTCTATTACAGGAGGAAAGTAAATGGCGTCAAAGATCGAGGACGGATTGGTTAAAGGAAGGAGATCAGAATACCAATTACTTCCATCGCAAGGCATCGGAAAGACGAAAGAGGAACATGATAAAACAGTTGAAGGATGTTGCGAGGAAGCTGTTTGTGGGACAGGAGGAGGTGACTCATTGCCTAGTCTCTCACTATAAAGAGTTGTTCACACCAGAGGAGGAAGTGTAGACAACTTCCATCCTTGAATTGATCCAGCCAAGGGTAACAGATGATATGAATGTCCATCTCACGTTACCCTTTACTGTGGAAGAGATTTGGAATGCTCTAAAGCACATGGGATCCTCAAAAGTACCAGGAGTAGATGGGATATCGGTGTTGTTTTTTAAGAAGAACTAAGAGATTGTGGGAGCTGATGTGACAAGGGAATTGACAAGATTCCTAGAGAGTGGTTCGTTTCCCATAGAGTTGAACCATACGTTGATAGCCTAGATCCCTAAGACTAAGAAACCAGAAACACCAGCAGACTATAGACCTATAAGTCTATGTAAGGTGTTATACAAGATAATGTCGAAGGTCTTGGCTAACAGGCTGAAAAGGATACTAAATAGGGTGATAGAAGAGAATCAAAGTGCTTTTGTACCTGGAAGGTACATAACTGACAACGTGATGGTGGCGTTTGAATGCTTTAATGCGATGAAAACAAAAAAATGAGAGCAAACGAGGGTACATGGCAGCCAAGTTGGACATTTCAAAAGCATATGATCGAGTGAGTTGGGGCTTTCTGGAGGCAATGATGTTGGGGATGGGATTCGATGGCAGATGGGTAAACCTAGTGATGTCATGCATTACTACGGTATCGTTCTCTATTTTAGTCAATGGACATAAGTCTGAAAGTTTTGAATCTAAAAGAGGACTCAGACAAGGGGATTCATTATCCCCCTTTATGTTTCTGTTATGCGTGGAGGGACTTTCATCCTTAACCAGGAAGGTGATTGAGGAAAGGAAACGACATGGTTTTCAGGTATCTCGAAGAGGACCAATTATCTCACATCTCTTGTTTGCTGACGATAGTATCTTCTTCACTAGAGCCACACAACAAAGTGTGAGCATTTGAAGGAGATCCTAAAGTTATACGAGAAGGAGTCAGGACAAAAGGTGAATCTTACAAAGTCAGACCTGGCTTTTAGCCCAAATGTGACAGCTGCTCAGAGAGGGAGGTTGGCATGGATACTGGGAATGAAGCAAGTTGAGGAGCATACAAAATATTTAGGGTTGTCAACTATCATTGGTCGGGAAAAGAAGTCAGTTTTCCGAGTTTTGGTGGATAAAGTTCGGAAAAGATCAAAATGTGGAAAAGTCAAAGCTTATCCAATGTTGTCAAAGAAGTTTTGATTAAGGCAGTTGCCCAAGCGCAGACAACCTATACTATGTCTATCTTTCTGGTACCTAATGTGGTTTTGATAGAGATTAAGAGTGCAATCTTAAACTTCTGGTGGGGGCTAAAAGAAGGAGAAGAAGAGGATACCATGGAGAGCCTGAGACAAATTATGCGAGCCAAAGGATGCAGGTGGTTTGGGATTCAGGGACCTAAGGGCGTTTAATCTTGCCCTACTAGGGAAACAAACTTGGAATCTTATGCATAATCCAGATTCCCTAGTAGCCCGAGTTGTAAAGGCCAAGTACTACCCTAATACTGATATCCTACACGCTAGAGTTGGGCATAGTCCGAGCTATGGGTGGAGAAGTTTGATGCCGACACAAGAGCTGGTGAGGAATGGGATTCATTGGACAATTGGGAATGGAACTCAAGTGGAGGTCTGGGGAAACAAATGGGTACCAAATGCTGAGGAAGATGGCTATTTGGTAGTCTCACCGGTGACAAGCCTAGGAGCCCTAGCTTGGTCTCCTCTCTCGTTGATCATACAACCCAACAGTGGCGAGCAAATGTGCTACAACAACACTTTAACCCAACTGATAAGGCCAAAATAAGGGCAATCCCTCTCCCCAGAACACCACAACCTGATAAGCAAGTATGGAGCTTTGAGAAAAGGGGTCACTACACAACAAAATCTGGGTATTGGGCATGGAGGTAGAGGATGAAAATGGAGATAACAGACTCAGAACAAGGGCAAATTTATGATCCGGTGAATTGGAAAAAAGTCTGGAAACTACCAGTTCCACCAAAGGTAAGAATGTTCCTCTGACGATTTCTGCAGAACATTCTTCCGACGGGGAAGAATATAGAAAAGAGGAAGAAGGATACGGCAGTGGAATGTCCGTTTTGCAATCTGGTAGAAACCCAAGAACATATCTTTGTGGACTGTGCGTGGGCGAGACGAGTTTGGTATCCCATTGAATTCAAGCCAATTTTTGAAAAAGGGGAAAACCTTTCATGCACATCATGGTTCTGCGAGGTATCAGAGGAAATTGAGGAGGAGCACCTAGCTAAAATCACGATGATTCTGTGGAACATTTGGAATGAACGATACAATCATCTGTTCAACAAGAAGAAGGCGGAGGAGTGGGAAATCGTGGGGAAGGCTCTATCCTATCATGAGGAATTCTTATCGGGCAGACAGAAGGAGGAAGAGAGAAGAGAAGGCGAACATGTTCATTGGAAGAAGCCGCCGCCGGGCACGATGAAAATAAATGTCGATGCGGCCATCTTTGCGGGAGAAGGGACTGGAGCCGGGATCGTACTCGCTGCAGTTCGTCTAGACCGGCGGTAGTGGCGACCAAAAATTGCCGAACTCCAGGCCATCAGATTCGCTCTGGAAGTGGTGGAAATGAAGGGATTTTCAGTGGTGGAAATTGAATCAGACTGCCTAGAGGCCATTACAAAGCTCAAGGGTGACGTGGTCTCGCTGACGGAGGAGGGGGAGCTCAGTGTAGAGCTAAGGGCCAAGGCCCATCTGTTGGGCCAGATCAGTTGGAGCTTTGCTAATAGAGACTGTAATGGGGCAGCCCACACTATGGCTCACACTATTTGTAACTGGGATTCACAGGAAATTTGGGAGGAGAGGCCACCCATTTTTTTACTACCGCTGCTTGATGCCGATTGTAACCAAGTTGAAGGGTAAGCAATAAAAGTACCCTAGGTTCCTTTAAAAAAAAATCTTCCCATACTAATGAAATGAAATACAAATTGCACAAATCGTCAAAAAACAATGACAAGAGTAATGCTACTACAAGAAACACATGATATTTGATTATCCTTAAACGTCAAACAAGTCTTTCAAACCGTAGTGATTTTTTTTTAACATCTCACCAATTTACGAGGGTTTTATCATTTTGGGAGTTACATATGAAATGTAACGGGTCGACCCGCTAACCCACCCAACCCGACCCACAAGATCACGGGTTAATCGGGTTCGGGTCATTCGAATTTCGGGTTATAAAAACTTCTATTTTTTGGGCAATTTCGGGTTGGGTCAACGGATCGAATTGTAATTTGACAGGTCTACAAAATGGTATGTTCCAAAGGAAATTGTCATTTTTCTGGGGAATGAAAGATTCAAGTATCAACGGAGGGTGATTCAATTCTTGGAATTTATTAGAGATTACCGTTGAGGCCTTATGTAGTAGTTAGGATTATCTGAATTCATAAGTTAATTAATTAATGTATTCTAATTATTATGTTTTGAAAGGTCATGTATTCTAATTAGATGTATTGTTTCGTACATTCGAAAATATATTGTTTGAACATTGAGATTGAAAATCATCCAGAATGAATGATTTTTATGGTCTCATTCTACTCAAATAAAAGTATTATGTTTCATTTAAAACAAAAAATGATGAATTCAATTAAATACATGTATTGCCTATACATGATATGATATCCCAACTTCCAAACGACCGTCAACAATTTACTCATTCATAATCATAGCTACCGAGTAAGAGAGAAGATGAAGCAAATTATGTTAAGTGTGTGATACTATGGTTACATAGGATTAAAGCACATATTGTGGTTGCCTTATGAATTTAAACCTATAATTTGATTTTCTTTTTTGACCGGAAAAAGAATTTCATAAGTTTAAAATTCACAATAATGTAAGGATCATGTAAGAAAGCGGTATATGCTCAATTTAATAAACCAACTAATGTAAATAACTCGAATTATTAGAAGAAGTGAGGTAAACAACCACATGATGTAGTTGACCAATATTGTAAAAAAAATGTAATTCACCAATAGTCGAACTACTGATGTAAGAGCCTATTTGGCCACAAGATAGGCAGCCCTGTCATCCGAAAAATAAATGAACAAGAAAAGAAGTCGAAGCGCTAAGCAAGTCATCTGTCATTTTCCACTATAGCTCCTCCAACATCATGATCCTGTCAACACCGGCCACACCACCAATTGGGAATCACCATAGAATTTAGACAACAATCCCAAAAATATAAATAATAAGCAAATTAATTCGATAAAAAATGCATCATCGATACCATATTGATGTTGAACACTTTCTTTTTATAACCGGTTGCATAGCCCAGCAGCCTTCTATCTTTTTTGAATGACAAGAAATCTATGAATGACTCATCACGTTGAAATTATTTCTTCAGATAAACATCAATTAGGAATTGCATAGCCTAGTAGCCTTCTATCTTTAATGAAAATAAATCTATGAAATGGCTTATTCGTATTGAAATTATTTCTTCAGATAAACATCAATTAGGAACAAAACAAAAGTTTATTAAGATAATACCAATTAGGTGGAATACAGGACTTCACTCCATTTATAGGGCTAAGAATATATCAATATAAGTATATAGCAATCAATATTCATCAGATAAAACCAAAATGTCTGGAAATTTTGAATCCAAAATAATAATAGAAAAAGGGAAAGAAATACTCCCAAAATGCCACTAACCTCAGCTTCACATCTTACTGATAAGAACGCCTACTCATTCCATTCGGCGGCCTTCCTCCATTTTCCCTCCATTCCCAACACGAAAAAGGAACCATCTTTCCTCTTCAATTAAACTCACTGAACAAATGAAGAGCAGGGGAGAACCCAATTACCGAATCCCCATCGATGGTTCCTCATCAATTTCGCCATTGTTGCTTCACGAGGAGCAGGAATTGCAGTTCGGTGATGGTGGTCACACCAGAATCAGGGCTTCCTTCACTGGTTCAGTCTTCACTCTTTCCACAACGATTATCGGAGCCGGAATCATGGCATTGCCAGCCACCATGAAAATCCTGGGCCTGGGGCTCGGAATCGCGCTCATAGTGTTAGTCGCGGTTCTCACAGAGCGGTCGCTGGAAATGCTGCTGAGATACAGCAAAGCCGGGAAGGAAGTGAAATCGTACGGCGGAGTTATGAAGGACGCGTTTGGGAATGGCGGCAGAACCCTGCTTCAGATTTGTGTGCTGCTCAATAACGTCGGGGTTCTTGTTGTTTACATGATCATCATTGGTATGACTTTCCTGTTCTCCTTGTTTCAATCTTAGGTATTGTTAGGATCAAAATAGATTATGGGTTAAGGAAGTCAAAATCAATTAGATTAGTTCTGTGAACTAGTTGTGGTGAAATGGACTGTGTTTTCTGAGGTTGTGACGAGAACCAATTAGCTATGAGTTGTTAAGAGAGGTTCTAAATTTGGATCTTATACCATTTCCCTTAAACCCCACATACCATTTCAGTATTAAGTTTTGATGCACATGGTTTATGAGGTTGTAAAAACTTAAAACTCGTAAATTAGCCTTTTTCCAACTGTGTGAGTTATTGGAACAAACTGGTTCTCGAGAGTTTGTTTATGAACAACCACTCTTAGCCTTGAGAGATATTACCAGAGTGTTTGAATTGCTTTCTAATGATGTGAAGGCGATGTGCTGTCTGGAACAACATCTGCAAATGGGATTCACAAGAGGGGTGTCCTGGAGGAATGGTTTGGAAGCCAATGGTGGAATGGCCGTACTGCTGTTTTCCTCGTCATGACATTTGCTGTATTTTCTCCATTGGCATGCTTAAAGCACATAGGTACAGAAAAATATTGTGTTCCCTAGTTGCTATCGTTCTATCATGTGGAACGATTCACCTCTTTCTGTTTTGAAGAAACTGATTCTTTAATACCGTGGCAGATTCGTTGAAGTTCTCGTCGGCTGTAGCAGTTGCACTTGCAGTCGTTTTCCTCGTCATAACAGCAGGAATTGCAGCATTCAAATTGATCAATGGAACCGTCTCCATGCCAAGGTTGCTTCCTAATGTTACTAGCATCACATCATTCTGGAATCTCTTCACTGCTGTACCCGTGCTTGTGACAGCTTTCATATGTCATTTCAACGGTAGGTAAGACCAAAAACCGCAGTGCATATGTAAGCTTGAATCAGATTATTACCATCATTTGTCTGATGTGTTTGTTCTGCAGTTCATACAATTGAGAATGAACTTGAAGACCCTACCAAGATACGAAAAGTTGTGCAAGCTTCACTAGCTCTCTGCTCTTCTGTCTACATTATGATAAGCTTCTTCGGTTTCCTCCTTTTTGGTGACTCGACACTCGATGATGTGCTGGCTAACTTCAACACAGACCTTGGCATTCCTTACAGCTCTGTGCTCAATGATGTCATTCGAGTCAGTTATGCTCTCCACTTGATGCTTGTTTTCCCAGTGCTTTTCTACCCCCTGAGAAGCAACATCGATGAGCTGCTCTTTCCATCGGCCAGGGATCTTGCTTTAGATACCAGAAGGTTTATATTGCTCACAATAGCACTCATTTGTATGATCTTTCTGGGAGCAGATTTCGTACCGAGTATCTGGGATGCTTTCCAGTTCACTGGGGCGACATCAGCAGTCTGCCTCGGTTTTATCTTCCCAGCTGCAATCGCTCTCAGGTTTAGTGCTTCCGTAACTAATTTCTTGCAATCCAGGTAACGGTTCCAAATAAAGCTTCATTTTTGTTGATTTGTACTTGTTGGGGTTTCAGGGATCCACATGCCATAGCAACAAAGAAGGAGAAGATTTTGTCAATTTTCATGATTTTCCTAGCTGTGCTCTCGTGCTCAGTTGCTATATACAGTGATGCCTATGCCTTGCTGAGAAAGAAACTATCTCCATAGCAACTGGCGCCAATTTGAAGAAGTAGATCATCACACAGACATCGAATTTAGACACTTCTAGTTACTTCCTCTATAGAGTTTTACTTTGTCTTACAATCACATGCATCATACAAAAATGGTAGTCCATTGAAAGAAATTGGTACTCAGCCATCCAGTGTTGACTTGAGACCCAACAAGCTTATGTATATGCCTTCATTTTCTGTAAACTGAAGTAAACCCAAACCCATTCCAGTCTCTACTATTGGAATTTCCTTCACTCTTTTATTTTGTATTAGGTTTTGTGTCACATTGAACAAATTGCTTCGGCATATACTAAGTAATCATCCGCAACAAGTACAATAGAATGTGAGTTCATCCCTTGAATCTATCGGTACAGACAACCCAGATCCCAGGTTACAATGTTCACTCCAGCTTTTTCGCCAATCTTAAGAAATCTATCAAGAATCTACCATAAAGCAAAAGACGATAAAGTTGCATTGCATCCCAAGCTCGCATTCTTTTCCCAACATCTGCTGATGCTTTCTTATTACTCGAGAAATTACCTGGATCGTAGCAAAGCGCAATTAGGATGATCATGACCCAAACCTTGTGTCCTTCAAAGATCTGCAATTTCACCAGTTCCAGTGGCCTCTCCTCATTCTCCTCACAGGAGCAGTTGCAAAAGGAACATCTCAAGCCAGTAAACTATACACATTTCCTCTGTTGCAATATGTACAATTCCTCGCAAACTCGACCTGTGGTGACTTCTCATGTCAACCAGCCTCTTCTTGAAGAATGGGTCCCCGGAGCTTGTCTTTCAGAATACTAGGGCAAGGCCCGGTATGGACAAAACTTGCATATTCCGTAGGCCGGTAAAGTTGGCACAGCACAATTTTGGCATTGTTGAGTTCAACCAGCATTCTTTACATCCAAACTAGTTGAAGAAATAGGGAGATCTCAGGACATCTTTCAGATCAAAGTCTCCTCTATCTGGCAGAGGAGGAAACTTTAAGTTAGGGAAGGACTTCTGAAACGCCTCCAACAACTGCAGCCACAAAAACGAAAAGGGTAATAAACCTTAATGATAAGTCCACCATCTAATTAAAGCCAAATGTCAAAATTTGTTAATTTGAAGATGCAAGTATAAAAAGTACAGTTAGGATAATACTAAGGTAGGTTTCCTTTGCCCAGAACCCCCAATTGAAACATCAAAGATAGTTCACAAAAAGTTTCAACATTAGTTAGCAGAGCAATTTCCATAGTATCTCAATATCCTCAATATTATGCCAAGACAAGTAAGCAACCATTTGAACTGCACCCCTTCCATAAAAATGGTATTGAATCTTTCAGGGGAAGAATGTAATGTAACAAGGTGGTATTAGAGGACTTTACATTCTCCAGTATAGGCGCCTCGTAAAGTTCAACGAACTTTTCCCTAAGTATTCTGTTCAATTCGTCGACATCACTTGCATGCGTCCAATAAGAATCGTGGACACCTGTGATAAAAAATGAATTAGGATTACAATACATACACATTGTAAAAGTAGCAGCCACAAAGACAGTAGGCTTAGTGCCGACCTGCAAAGTTTAAACCAGCCTTTCTGCAGGCAACAGCGGTCATCATCATGTGAGACCCATCTAGGGAGTGAACAAAATTTGGAGGGAAAGCAGTTCTTTGCCGTTTAACCATTATCTACAAGAACCACAAGTTTTTTCAAGGATAGAACAATTAAGTATAAATAAGAGAAAGCTTTAGCATATTTAGGTAAATAACTACCTTATCAGTTTCTCTCTGCAGGGCCAGCATCTGAAGTGATGTCTTGATCTAACACATAATTGAAGAACACATAAGTTAGTAGTTGTCATAGGCTTCTTTAGGTGTTAATTTGATTTTACCAGAAAGAAAATTCATAACATAAGGCGTCGATCCATACCAAATGTCTACCCAGTTGTCGGTAAGGCTGTACAACAGGGAGTCCAAGAGGAGTAATCCATTGCACAGGCTCATTTTCCGAGGCAATTATCTGTGACCAGTTTATGAGTATGAATAAGCAACTGCATGTCATTCCACATGTACAACAGAAAAAGGTTCCAGTAGAACTCAAGTTCCATGTCGACAAAAGGTGTGAAAGAAGTACAGAACCTATTTCATTGGCAAAATACAGAAATGACTCGGTGAAAAGTAAACAAAGTATGCACTTCATTTCTGAAGCTTTACTTACTTTGCATGTGATTCAACCAGTTAGGACCTTCTGGTATCTCCGATCAAATAACCAACTTCTAAGTTTTGCCTTTAAATTGATGTGGCTCTCACTTTACTTTATCTTCTCTACATTTTCATTACTACCCCTTCTTTTCCACAAAACTCCAGAAACTTGTGGAGTCATTCGTCATTTCCCACAGCTCAAATATTTTTTAATAAGTCCAACTACCCTTAAAAAAGTCACAAAATTGTGGGATCGTCTAATAATTCCACAATCATTCACCACTTTGGGGGGAAAAATTATATACGCTGACAAGTACTACTTGCTTCTGTTGACAACCTCCTAGTATGAACCAAACAGCGCCCTCAATAATCAGAAACCATTGCAGCAAGGAGGGTATAATGCCAACAGTTTCCTACTTACGACTCCCTAAGCAATTGCTTTACTTGCAAGCAAATGGAGAAAGGATGATACCACACCTTTGCACATTCCCCGAGCCAGGCCATGATACTTCTTGCTCCTTCAAACATCTCTTCTAGAGCAGTCAAGGTAGTCTGCACATACAGTAAAAAAGAACACTTGATGCAATCTTGTTCATACAGTTTGCATATGGAGATTACACCAGACGTTCAGTTTACTTCACTTACTTTTGCTGCATAACAAGCTGAAGGATACAGAAGCCCATCATCTATTGCACCACGCTCTTTTAACCTTTTCTTTATCTGGTCACGAGCACCAATATAGGTGACACCATACACTGATGTCATCACTGTTTGTTTAACCAATTTTCTGTCAACCTGCCATTTAAATTGCAAAGACTTAAGTTTCTAGCAACAAAGACAGATCGGTCTACAGGGAGAACACAGTAACACTAATGAGTCATGCTTCACATGCCCAATTGAGCCGAATAAATGTTCAAAGCAAATGATAATAAAGGAAAACTAACCTGATCAATCAAAAGCTTGGCATGCAATGCATTCGGATTAGTTGCTGGATCTTTCTCTGCATCTATACACATAATTTCAAGAACTCTACATAAAAAAAAAGGATTAGATGGTCTAACAAAAGTAAACAGTCAGTCACACGCTATATAACTGCAGACTATCAGCACATGGTCCATAGAATTGGTTTTAGTTTCAGACCAACTAAATCAAAAGTTATGTCAATCAAGTGCAGCTGACAAGATTTGGTGTGAGCTAACACGCAAATATAAAAAAAGATATGCCAGATTAGCATATTAAAGAGTTATGTACTATCTGCCTCCATACTGACTATGATGCTGAAGAACAGCACAATAAGAGATTAACCTACCTAGTAGCGATTCCTGAGTAAACATCGGCAGGTTTGTTACCTGCAACAAGATTTACTGCAGCAGCTCCTAACTGATTGACCAAAATAGAGGGAAGTTAGAAAAAGTTTGTAGGGTTTGCCCTAGCATATTTCTCAATTGAACGCAGGACCAGTACCTTGTCCCTTCCAAGAGCAGCATAATGTTGTAAACCGTTACAAGAGCCATCCTTGAACAAGAAAACAAGAGAAATTAGAGCCAAGAGGATGGAAAATAGTGATACAAGAGGAACAATGAATGCAATAAAGACTATCCACCGAAAACTTCCACAGATTTGAAGGACTGAAAGCTTGGGAGTAGCAAGTGAAGTAGTTAGTACCTGGTGGACAGGCATGTATGATAAGGTCATCTCTGGGGAGGAGCTTCTCAATGCTTCTGTGAGATTAACACATGCTGCTAAGCACTGAAATGGATCCTCTGCATTTAACCACCACCGCTTTCCTTCAAGAGGTTGCTCAGCGGAATCAAAGATATCCTCAAGATGTTTCTCAGTAAATGCTATCCTTCCGTCATAAGATAGCTTATCCACGCCACCAGCATACAAATTTGCCAAGTGTATCTTTAGCCACCGCAGACCAGACTTTCCGAGAGGTCGCCCCTCAGCAAACTCCAAGATACCCCGGCAGAGATCAGAACCAAGATGATTCAAATGTGGATGCATGGGATAAGCACGTCCTCTGAAATCAAGGTTGTGTGGGTAGTAGAAGCCTTCCTCATCCTTCATTTTTCTAGCCACCTGATCAAAAGTTTGAATGTCAGATATCAACAACCATTATATGATGCCTCGCATACCACATCATGCAAATCCACATGATATGCTAATTTAAATAGACGAAGCATCTTACAGCAAGTTTAAGCTCTATATCACATCTTTGTGAATGCCTCTCACTGTTCTCTTTTTTTAGATTTTTTACTTTCCACTTCCATCTCCGCATTTCTTGCTCGTCTTCTGTTTCTAGCTTATCAGGTAGAGGAATCTGTTGAAAATTAATAGATAAACTAAAGCGTTAATAAGGTATCAGAGATAACAAAGAAGGAGAACCGTCAAAATGAAAAGAATAAATAATGTAATAGTCCAAGTATCCAACTCATAGCAATTTTCATAAACATTAATTCTTCTTGTTTCCTTGAAGAATAAAGATATTGCATACTGAAGAGAAGTAACTGGCCAAACAATAAACCAGACTAGTTTGCAGAACTTAAACTCACATCTTCACGATCAACCAAGCCAGCAATACGGCCTCCACTTGCCCATATTCTATCCACTACAGCTAATACCTTCTTGTTTATTCTCCATTTGGTGTTCCCCAATGTATTAAGGGCCTGATTGATAATGGAGGAATTCCATCAGAAAGCAGGTTCCTCATTATATGAGAGAATTATGACAGAAAGCACTATTATACAATCATTATTACACTGAAGAACATGAATTGTGGTTCCAAACCTCATAAACAGGATCTAATTGTTCCCTTGAAGTCCTCTTAAGCACTTGTCGTTGTTGTTTTGACCCATGTATCCTCATAACATAAGAAGGTAAGAAAAAGTGGGCACCTTTGTCATATCTATAAGAAAGGGGGGAAAGGTGTTAGTGTAGTAGTACAAGAAGGATGAACACTCTCAATTCAATGAAAGTATTTTGGGAACCAAAAATAAACGTGAAAGATAGAATGATGGAAACAGAAAATTTACATCAAGCCGCTAGATGATAGCAAATTCTGAGCGATCTCAGAATCAAAGAAAGAAAATGACAGTAAATACAAGATTCCAATCGATTTGCACTGAAGTTCCATGTGTATAATGCTTATATTTTCAACATAACGCAAAAAACAATTACTATTAAAGCAAAAATGAAAAAAAATTCTAAGAAAATAACAGACAAGGGCTGGGATGAAATACTTGCTCCAGTCCACAGGGGGAACCAACATCGGCATGTAAGGGATGACCATATGTCTTGCCTGCTTGAACAAAACAGAAATTAGTGAAACATGTCTCTACACCCCACAAGCTTATCCAATAACAGAAATTAAAGGCGCACATCTAACGCAACGAAGTTCTTTGAAGCTTTTACTTACAGATTTCTCGAGGCCTTTACGGACTAGAGGGTCACATTCAATCACTCCATATCTCCTACTGACTTTCCTGTAAGGGGGAAATTGTATGATATTACTTTCTGTATGGACATAAAGAGATGCAAAGGGACCATGAAAATAACAATAGCTTCTCTGACTTACTGTGCCTCATGTGTGACAGTCTTGAGGGTGTGCACAAATGCTGGGCGAATATCAGGTGGACCATCTCCTAATTGATCGACGGGAGGTTGTATGTAAGCGGTTTCAATCAGCAATTGGATCAACCGACAGCCAACCTGAGACACATTCAGTATCAGAATAACATGCATAACACAAAATGTAGACTTGCAATCATCTCTCTAGACAATCAAACTAACCTTAACATGTGCTTCCTGCCCCCAAGGCGTTGGATCATCATGATCCTTCACCATTTTCCTCACTTGATAAAGCTTTTGCTTTTTCATCAATGTAGTAACTTTTTTTCTAAGTTTATTGCTGTCTTCACCTGATTTCTCCTCTGTATTTGCCACGCTGGCACTGTCGGGTTCAATTTCAGGTTTGCTTGCTTTTTTGCCCCTCTTTTTAGTCTTCTCCAAGAACTTATTAATCATGGACTATAAGATCCAGAAAATGGTATTCAAGTGAGAAGCGTTTTTCATCCAATAGCAGTAAACCGATTACACACTACCTTTCACTAACAAATTAAGAATTCTTACAATAAGAAATCATGTTTTTAGAATGTGAGAAAAGGAAACATACCTCATGTTCAATTGCTTCACCTATACCACAAGCAGCTTGAACCACCCTCACACTCCCATTAGCTCCATTAGTAGTCATCAACAATGCCATCATCTTATGCATCGTTATAACAGCCATCATATCAGCAGGAAGCTCATTGAAATAAGGCCCATGAGATGCCTTAGAGTTCTTTTCCTTGCAAGCTTCCTGATCCGCCAAAATTGCATTCCTCAGAGGCTCAAACCATCCAAGAAACAAAGTCTTCACGTAAGGCAAATTGGGAGCCAATTTCTGCTCGCACATATCCACCAAAAGCTCCTGATACTCTCTGGCCGCCTCTTCCCACGCCTCCGTCTCCATCTTCACCTGCCTCTTTTTGAGCAGATTGTATTTCCCTATGCCCATTCCCGCCACCATCTTCTTCGGCCGGCGAGGCTGCGGCGGCTGCTGTGGTTGCCGCAACTCCATTTTCTGCTGCGGCTGCTGCTGCTGCTTGTTGAATTCCTTCACCATTTCCTGCAGCTCATCGGAGCCAGAAAGGTCGGACTCGTCCGTCGAGGAAACTACTTGCGCCGCCGCAGTCCCGTAGCGCTTCAACGAAGGTACCGTACAATAACCCGCCGGAATACTCGAATAGGGTCCGGTCAAGTTCACATTTTGAATGGTTGAGAAGCAACTTCGGCGGAATCCGGCGCTTTGGAGGAGGGAATCGTAGCAGGAAGGAAGCACCGGAGGTCTAATTCTGTCGAGAAAGTTGGAATCTTGACATTGGGAAGCACTGCTTGAAGGGAATTTGACCCTTTTGGTGGAAGAAACTCGTCTGGCGAAATTCCTCCACATATTCGCAGTAAGTCAAGAGAACGGTGCTAGGAAGAACGGGCAGCAGCTGAGGGATTGGAAGGGGAACCTAAAAAGGGTATCTTGAAGGAATACTGGGAGAAGCGATCGTTATTGAGTTTAAGAAGTTACGATGTAGCGATAATGTGAAGGAGATCATGGGATATTGGAAAGAGTCATGGAAGTGAAAAGCGGAGTGGGGAAGAAGGGAGATCGATTGAAGGCAGGCAGGCAGGCAGGCAACTGGGAAGGAGGTTTGAAGGGCTGAGCCGCTTTCAGAGTTAAACCCTCTTAAAACCTAGGAAGCAGTTACCACTATTCTGACTGACCCGCTTGAATAAATCAGTGGGCGGGCGGGTTCTAAGGGAAAACCGACTCGCTTCTTGACCCGATGAAAGTGAGACAAGCCCAGATGGAACTTGGGCTGGGATATAAATTTCTATTTTTCATAGCACAGCGGATTAGGATCAGAAACTTATAGGTGGTTTTTTTTTTATAAAATATACTTGTATAGCTAAAATTTTCACATTTGTGTCATTTATAGTCATTTTTGGCGAAATACAGAAAGGCTGATGTGGCGACACAGGTGGAATTAACCAAAAAATAAAAAATCAAATTAAATTGTAATTTTTTTTAAAAAAAAAGTCAAAACAACTCCTCTCCTTCCCATGTGCCTCTGCAAGAACTTGAGCAGATCCACCATTAATGGCGGACCAAAGCAAGCAAGGAAAAAAACGAAGAAGAAAATGGACCAAAAAGACGCAAAATACACTCTTCGATCAAAACCCCCAATCCTTACAATTAGTCCCCCTGCAAAAAAAAAAAAAAAACCTCATTCAGCATAGCCAGCCATGGGCTTGAAGCACCACAATTCCTCTTCTTCCCTCACCTCCCCCGCCCAACCCTTCTCTGACTACCTCCACTACGCAAACTTCCCCTAGAACAAGCTTTTTACCTGAAATCTCGTAGACCCGGACATCGCCGCCATCATTCATCACCTCCACACAATCGTCGTTCCTTTCCAATCGTCGTCCCCAGCCGCCATCGCTCTATATCGAGCTTCCCCACCAGATCTGCAGGAAATCAACTAGTGGCGGCAAGCAACGCCATCTCCCCTCACCGCAGTGCCCTAGTTCCAATCGCCTCCTTCAATTTGCTCCTCTGTCACTCTTCCCTTTGTCGCCGCTCCTCCTTCTCTTTAGATCGAAACCAGTGACAGATAGCAGAAGGCAAAATCAATGCCGAGAATAATGACAACTTTTTGGCGGCTGACCTTCAACGGTATGCATCGCCTCTCGTAGTCGGCCCACAATTGATCTCCATTCTTACCACCGACGCAACAACGGCTGCTGCTGCGACAGAGTCGGAAAGGTGAAGAGGATTCGTGGGGAAGATGGGTCGTGCGAAGCAGATGGCTAAATGAATGTAAATAAAAATTATTTTTTTATTTGTTAATTTACGATGAGTAAATATTAAATAATAGAAATATGTGACGTGTCAATATTTGATTATTTGGCGCTGATGTGTCCGATGAGTTGACATCTAGTCATTGAGTCGTCAAATAAGTTAACGATGTTATTAACACCGTTAAAGTTTGTAACGGAAATGACTGTATTTGGCACGAAAGTTTCAAAATTCTGGCTATAAGTGGTATTTCGCCAAAAGTGTCTATAAGTGGCACAAACGTGAAAGTTTTGGCTATACAACTTACAAGTGTATTTTGCCTTCTTTTTTTAACAATGACTTATAGGTTTTAAGAGGGTTGAACTCTGAAAGCGGCTCTGTTGGGCTAACATGGATAGGTCCTAGGGGGACATGAGCCTGGTTAGGCTCAAGCCCATGGGAAGAAATGAGGAGGCTGACCCAAACAAGAGAATTAGGGCCACACTAGGTAGGGTAGGCGCATGACGACAAAAGGGGATGAGGACAAATGTGTACGGAGTAGGAAAGCCGAGAAGCGGCCACCTGGCAGGCGTGGTCCCTGCTAGGCGCCTACCTAGGGACGTCCAGGAGAAGCCACGTACAGGCGCATGACCGTTGGACCGTACCAAGCATTAAATGAGGTGATGACGTGGGGCTGAATTCCAGGAGGATGGTCGGGGCTTCGACGAGTATAAATAGTGCTCGGTAGGTGGCATTTACGCAGGTTGGCTTCTCTCACTAAAACTTCGGATAGCACTTATCTCTTTAGATTTGGCACTGACTTGAGCGTTGGAGTGCTAACGGGCATCCCGAAGCCCATTAGGCGCTTGTCTTTGCAGGATATTGGCGCCTGTGTTGCAAGTCGGGCCTGCCAGATCACGATCAGTGGGAGCCAGGTATCTTGGCTCAAACAATTGGCGCGCCAGATTGGGGGCGCACAGATCTAGGTGCATGAAAGGCATGAACGAGAGAGATGGGGGTGAGCACGAATCGAGATCGGGGAGCTCCAATCAGGCAGAGAGTGAGCATCAATCAGGCCAAGAGCTGAGCATGGAAATAGAAGGGGAGGGTAGCCAGGGGCGCCCAGCCATGGAAAGTGAGTCCCTATCGAAAAGGGAATTATTACGAATCATAGTTGATCAGGATCAAAGCCATAACAGCGTTGAGGAGGGAGTTGGAAGTAGGACGGAGGTGAGGACGTATAGCCCCACGATGAGAAAGCGAGATAGGCGGTTGAAAACTCCGAATCCAGTCAGCATGGGCCAATGCGAGGGCAACCGGACGAACAAAATCTTGACCGGTACTGTGACTTCCATCGAGATAAAGGACATCACAAGGCTGATTGCTACCAGTTGAAAGCGGAATTGTAGACCTTGGCCGACCGAGGAATGCTTAATGACTTTGTGAAGAGGGCCGAAGAGAGGACTCACCGCACTTATGTAGCAAGGGAGGCAAAACAGGTGCCCGCGTTGCCGATCGTGCAGCAGGCGCCCGAAATACCCCCGCCCCCTTTTGAGGTGAACCAAGAAGGAGCGCCCGACCTTGTTAGGCTCACGGTGGAGTCAATCACTGGCACCATCGACCTTCGAGACAAACTGGACAGATCTAGGCGCCTAAGAGCTGCGTCTTCGGAGGCGAAGGCGGCGGTGCAAATACACTTCAACCAGGGACCGGATGAGGCATGCCAAATTCAGTCGGAGGAAGCCTTGGAGATACAAGTTGTGATTGCGGGATGCAGGGTGAAGAGGATGCTGGTAGACACCGGTAGCTCGATGGATGTGTTGTTTAAAAGCACTTTTGAGCGTATGCAATTAGCACCTGAGTTGGTGATTCCCTCGAGCTCCGTGTTGATAGGTTTCTCGGGGGCACCTGCACATGTGATCGGACGAGTGCGCCTTCCCGTAACATTGGGTGATGAAGTTCATCGCGTAATGCATGCGGTGGAGTTCGGAATTGTTGATTGCCCCTCACCATACAATGATACTTGGCAGACCCCTATTTGCATAGTTTAATGGAGTAGCCTCCACTTGTCACCAAACGTTAAAGTTCATTGCGCCACAGGGGATAGGCATCTCAAGAGGGGGACTCTCCCCGTTATGCGTGAGATAAAGCATCGCAGGGCAATGTTCGAAGGCATAGAGTGAACAACATAGAAATTTTCCCAGAGGAGGCGCCCAGGGCTGAACCTGTTGACGACGAACTGGTCGTGGCAATCGACGAGGGGCGCCCGGACCGACAAATGTGAATTTCATTGCAAGCTCCTGAGGACATGAGGGCGCCCTTGGTTGCGTTACTTCGAGAGTATGGGGAGTTGTTTGCATGGAGCGCGCAGGACATGCCCAATGTGTCTCCGGAAACAGTGGCGCACAGGCTCGCTGTCGAGGAAGGCAAGAGGCCAGTCCAACAAAAACGATGAAACTTGACGCCCGAGAAAGAAGAGGCTCTCCGCCACGAAGTCGATAGGCTACTCGAGGCAGGGTTCATTGAGGAGGCTAGGTACATCACGTGGCTTTCGAATGTCGTGTTCGTCCCAAAGTTGTCGGAAGAATGGAGAATGTGCGTGGACTTTACCAATCTTAACCAGACATGCCCTACAGACGCCTATCCTATGCCACGCATCGACCTACTCGTGGATGCAACGGCCTATCACGAGGCGCTTAGTTTCCTCGACATGTTGTCGGGCTACATCAAATCCCCATGGTTGAGGAGGATAGGGAAAATACCTCTTTCATGACACCTTTTCGTAACTTCTACTACAAGATGATGGCATTTGGATTGAAGAACGCAGGAGCCACCTATCAGCGTATGGTTAACCAGGTCTTCCGAAAGCAATTGGGAAGAAACGTGGAAGCATACGTGGATGATTTGATTGTGAAAAGTAAGAGGCGCCATGACCATATCATGGATTTACGAGAAACCTTCGAACTATGCGCCTCTTTCAGTTGAGGCTTAATCCCAAGAAGTGCGTGTTTTTGGCGAAAGCAGGAAAGTTCCTTGGGTTCATGATAACGAAGCGGGGAATTGAGGCCAACCCCAAGCAAGTCGAGGCTATCATGAGATTGGCGCCCCCACGAACGCCGAAAGAGGTGCAAGGGTTGACGGGAAGGTTGACCACGCTTGGGGGCTTCATTCCTAGAGCATCGGACAGATTGCAACCCTCAAGACGAATAATGTTGCAGAGTATGAGGTCGTCCGAGTAGGGCTCCATATGGAAAGGGAGTTAGGCGCCCAAAAGCTCAACACCAAGACTGATTCGGCGCCAGTGGTTAATTAGTTAAACGAGGTTTATGAGGTGAAGGAAGAGGCACTGGGAGCCTATGTCCATTCAGTTCTGAAGAAGTGCGCTTGGTTTCGTGATGTAACATTCACACATGTCCCGAGGGAGGAGAATGCTCATGCGGATGCCTTATCTAAGTTGGCCACGGCTTTGGATTTCGGAGGAGATAGAACGGTGATTATCACAAAGGAGGCGCCCCAGGAGGAAATGGTAATGGCTTCCCTCTCCACGGGAGCGATGGAAGGATGGATGGCACCTATTATATTTTTTCTTACACAAGGCATAGTACTTGAAAACCCGAAGGAGGCTTGCCGCCTGCGGAGTAAGCGCATTGTACTTCTCCTCTTGAAGCGCCTTGATCTCCGCCAAGCACTTCTTGTTATCTCTCCCCAAGTTTTTATTCTCCTTCTTCATGGCGATTTTTTCTTGGCGCAAAATGTCGATCTCACTCCTATAGGCGCCTGACTCATTCTCTAAGTCAAGCTTCTCCTTCTCCAACCTAGCCACCAACTCGTGATGCACCATCTTCTCAACCTCGATCCGCGCCTCATACTCCTCCCGCAGCTTCCTCTTCTCTTCGTCAACTGTCTGTTGCACGAGAGAAGCGCTCTTCGCGGCCTCAAATTGTGCGTCCTCACACATCTTGATCAGCTCTTCTTGGCGCTTCTGCGCCGTTTTGAGGTTATCCCGCGCCACGCCGAGGGATGTGGACGCCTCATTAGCCGCGACGCGCAAGGCTTCGCGCTTGATTATTCCCCTTTTGGCTACAAGCATCATCTAAAAAAAAGGAACAGTTATATGCTTGATGTTATCTAAGCAATATGGATAATCGAAAAATACAAGGGAAAACAATTACATGGGCGTTTATACGAGCCACTTCGCCCCACGGATCGGCGCCATCCAAGTCCAGGGGCGCCCGGAGCACGTCACCGGCAGCCAGTACCATGTGAATGGCTGCGCCTCGTGCCAATGCAGATCAATCGGATCAAACCATGGTCACTTTGTGTTTCGGAGGTTGAAGCCACTTTTCCAAAGACTCGGGAAGTTCTACGTCATCGTCCAGACGTGGTCTTTTCCCCAGCTCGACTTGGGCGCCCTCCGTCTTCCTCTTCAACCTCTTTGCCAAAGGCACTTCATCATCGGGAAACTCTGACTCCTGAAGAAGATCAATGACTGGCGCCTGTTTTTCTATGGGCTCCGAGGCGTTGGGCGCCTCACATGTTTCCAATAGATCACCTAAAGCATCAGGCGCGAGAGCACTTGGGATCTTGCTAGGCTTAATCCTTTTGGGAGACTTCGCTTTCCTACTTGTGCGCCCCTTGCTTTACCAGCAGCAGGTTCGAGCGCTTTTGTCTCTATAGCAGTAGTCTTGGCCTTGTTGGAGGTTGCACCCTTCGACGAACTTGCTTTGCTCACCGCGCCATCCTTTTTTCCACCCTTCTTCGAGTGGGGCACCTGCTTGGCCACCAACCCCAGCTTCACGATTTGAGTCTTCATAAGGGTGGCAACAGAGGTGAAATCCATACTTGGTATGGCACCTATTGACATACTATTAAGGCGTATTACTAGTTTATACATGACTTATCCATACCGTATTTTACTATGTTAAGTAATATAACCTTTTGAACCATTTAATGTCTTCGTAATATATTTTTTGCCATAGGTCCAAAATTGAAGGTATATCAACTATAACAATAACTATAAGATTTTAGAAGTGAAATTAAGATTAAATCAATAAGAGTTACATGTTTTTTTCGTCATATGTTCTACACGGTCTCGACAGATTAGTTTCACTCGTTTGGAGGCGACCACATATCAGATGACTTGTACGATACGAAGCTTGCGTTGAATCACGTGTGTCTCATCCTGACGTTCTCAATCCCATTATCCGAACAATTAAATCGGTCAACAACTAGAGAAAATGCACAACAGTATAACGTACATCAACATTACATTATCAAAAACTTGTCTCTGTTACCACCACCATCAAGTAGCAATGCATATTCATCAGGAAGCCAGCAACTTGAAGCCCCAATAGCATATCCATGTTTTGTTTACAGTTACGGAGAGGACATGCAGTTGTTGATTAACTTAGGCGAGGAGTACTCCACGATAAACCGTTCGAGAAAGGTAAAGCTACTTGAGATCATCGAAACCAAGGTGGTAATTAGGAGTGCTAGTGGAACACTCATATTAGCGAACTCTTCCGGGTGTTCTTTGTTAGATCCACGCTGGCTCCATGATCAAAACTCCTCTATCGACGTGGGAATTCGAAGAAACCTTCAAAATCGGTGGCGCTGTGTTTCATTTACATCCTGATGATGATGATGATGCCAAATTGCTCGTTGTGTTGTTTTGTTCGACTACTGGTGATTCGAACAAAGACGACATAGACACTATTATGGTTTGGCGAGATTGCGACGAAACATGGACAATAATCGAAGTGGCTAGCAAGCAAGCAATCGATCCGCATCTTGGAGCTGTTGTGCATCAAGGAAAGATTTATGGGTTCTATTCGACATATGATCTCGCGGTGATGGAATTACAGCATGGGAATTTCGTATTTGAACCTATTACAGAGGTTGAGTTTCCGGAACCTCTATTAGCACTTTAGCAGGAACGGTTTGTTGCGTGTGCAAGCTAGTAGAGTCATGCGACGAACTATTACTCTTCGTCAGATACTATCAATGCGGATGGCGTCTAGAAGACGAGCTTATGAGCACTCCTACGGATATAAAAGTGAGATGGGAGGCGTTGGACGATTTAGGCGATCGAGCTTTCTTATGGTGCAGATGGGCCTGTTATCCATGTTGCTATAGCAAATCCGGGTTTTAGAGGAATTCGATTTTCTATGTAGAGGCATGAGACAAGAAGTCGTATGTATTTGACTATGAAAACCATACCATTTCAACTTTCAGGCCTTGTCCTAACATTGATGATTGGCCACAAGGTCATGTGTGTTTTATGTGGTACAAATAATCTTGAAAGGCAAGTTTAATTTATAGGTACTTCTGACATTTTGTTATTGAATTGCTTTAGAGGCAACAGAGTCATCGATCCATTTCCGAATAGCAACACTATGTATTGAGGTTAGATGACCAGATAGGAAAGGAAGTTGCACATAAGCAAGAAAGACTCAGTAACATAAAAAAAACAACTATCGAAGATCAAACACAAGGGGAAACATCTTGCTCCCCATCTCCCTTAAGCTAAAATCAGAGTTTTGCTTCCATGGAGGCCATACAAAATGTATTTGTGGGGAAAGTTCACTAAAGTCTATATGATTATCAACTACTCCTCTTGTCAAGGGTCATTTTCTGTCCTCGCTTCTGAAGGTTCAACTACTTCTGAAGCACCTTCACTGGTGCTCGCCTCGGTTTCCTCTCCAGCAGCTTTAGATTCAAATTCTACTCGATCTGTCCCAACTCCCTCGCAGTGCCATTGCCATCATTTCGTATATCTTGATTCCCAAGTCGGCTGGACTGCCCGGCTGCAACCAATCAAAGAGATGCGTAAATACCATTCACTGACAAGGAAAATATGAGTACCCTTTTTGAAAAGTAAAGATAGAATGTAAAATAAAGTTTCATCTTGTCCATTCTTACAGTGAAACCACTGGATATCCATGTCGTATCATACAGCAGATCAAATGCTCTCTTCGCATTAGTGTTATCTGGTGCTTTTATGCACGCAGCCTGCAACGACAGTAATAGTAGCAGAAGTGAGTGCTAATGCTACGTAATAACAGCTTGCGTGAAATGAGACACACGGTCATTAGGATGTGCTTACATTCAAGTCCTTGACGATAGGGTGGTATGGATTTATTTCCAGAATTCTCCTTCCCCTCACGAATTCCATGCTTGAAGTATCTCCAAGTGCTTGTGCTTTCATCAACCTTTAATAGTGATGCCAATGATACATCATATTCACATCGATGAGGTCATAAGTTAAATGCTTGAATGAGAACCAAATTAGACATACTTACCTTTCCATGTTGGCAAACCATCTGAATTTCCAAAAGACAAGCACACACGGAGATGAGCTTAGTCTTTTGGAGACTTGGACTTTGGCAAATTTGTCACCAAGCTGTTGTTTTATCCCATCACAGAGGGCATTGTATTCTTGTTTAGCTTCCCTTTCCTTTACCTCATCCTCATTACCTGGTGTTAAAACCAATTCTTGAAGTCAAGACAGATACCCCGTCCAAAGAAGCGAGGTACGAAAGTAAAATGCATGTGGCGTATTTATCAGTAATAAGCAAGAACTTACCAAGTTCTAGATCTTCCTTGCTGATGTCATCGAATTTATTTTCCTTGTAGGTCTTTAGGTTTTGGATCGCAACTTCATCGATGGGCTCAATCAAATCTAATACCTGTTATTAGAAATTACAGTTGAAGCCACTACGTTAGAATCCATCACAGGTATGTAGCTTCTCACACACACATATATACATGGTGGCTTCTATCGTACCTTGGGTAAAATCTAGGGTACGACATACCTTGAGTAGGAAAATGCTATCTAGACCTCGAATTAACCGGATGTTTGGGCGTGATACTATACGCTAACCCTTGATGAGTGAACCCTAGGTCTTAGTTAGCAAAATCATAGAGTCTAACCCCTAAGATTGTACATGTAATTTTTTGCATATATTTTGACGAATCATGACAGTCGATTTTTGTTGCTAATTAAATTAATGTCAGTGTATGATATTTATAGAATTAAGACCTAGATTTTAATCTATAAGGGTTTATGAATGGTACCAGATGCCAAATTTGGGTCAATTCAAGGTCTAGATATCATTTTCTTACTCAATGTATGTCATACCTTGTAGTTTACCCAATGTACGATAGAACCATCCATCCATACATATATATATATATGGCAAAGGCTAGCGTACGTCCGGGCGTACGCTAGCCTACCGTACGCCCCATTGAGTTTTGCTATTTAGACAAAGAATTAATCGGAGTTTGGGACATGATACTATACCCTAACCCCTAATGGGTGAATCCCAGTCCCCAATTCACTAACCCAAAGCATGAGATTCGTTTAATCTTAAAAATGAAAATCAACGATTCTGATTCGTCGAAATTTTCATTGGTTTTCATTTTAAGATTAAACGAACCTCATGGTTTGGGTTAGAAAATTAGGGACTGGGGTTCACCCATTAGAGTTTAGGGTATAGTACGCTAGCCTGAACCATATTATATATATATATATATATATATATGTGGCGAGTTCTACGGTACCTAGGGTGAAATCCGGGATATCGCATACCTTGATTATGAAAACACTATCTAGACCTTGAATTTACTGATCTTTCGGACATGATACTATACTCTAACCCTTAAAGATCAAAATCTAGGTCTTAATTCTCTGAATCTTATACTCCAAGATCAATTTAATTAGAAACAATAATCTATGGTTATGATTCGTCCAAATACAGGCAAAAAAATGAATGCAACATCTTAGGGTGTATAGTTTATGATTTAGATAATTAGGATCTAGGGTTCACTCATTAAGGGTTAAGGTATAGTATAATGCTAATTCGAGGTCTAAATAATGTTTTCATACTCAAGGTATGCGGTAACCCGGATTTCACCCGGGGTACCGTAGAAGGCACCATATATATATATATAATGGCCTACAATGTACAACTGATGTACGCTAGCCTGAACCATATATATATCCATATATATGAAATAATGGCCTTCTTTCTTCAAACATGTCATCGTTGTCCACAAGTAGAATCTAGATACCTCAATGTCCTTATGGACCAACTTCTCCAAGAACGGAGCAGACTTGGCACTCTTCAAACTGTTAGTTGCCAAGTGATAGATTGTTGTATGGTTTTCTCTCATGTTTTCCACATAATCATTCACACTTGTGAGATCTTCCTCGTTTTTGGATGTGTGGAATCTCAGTAGAGGAGTTATACGCTTGTAATTTCCAGATTCTTCAATGCATCCTAATTTTACAAACCTTCAAAAATTCTCCCAAAATTTCTTGTAATCCTAAAGTGAAGAGAGCACTTCATGAAAAAACACACACTCAAACAAAGGGAGGAAGACAAAAACATGAAGAAGGCACAAGGAGTTTAATTGACACTAACCTCTTTATTCTCACTTTCAGACAACTCCCGAATCATGTCAAAAGTCTTCCTAACAAGTCTCTTTCTCATGATTCTTACAATTCTGCTCTCTTGAAGAATCTCTCGGGATACATTAAGAGGAAAATCATCAGAATCCACCACACCTTTCACTAAGCTCAAATATCGGGGAAACTGCAGTCAACATAATGGGTGTTAAGACAGGCTTGGACATTGTCAGACAGAACTAAACATTACACTGGTAGCTTACTGAGAGAGAAAAAGCTACATCCAAAGTAAAAATAACATACTATAACAACTAAACAGTCTAAACTTATTAGAGTCGAGGCAACGTTAACATGTCAACATGTAACATCCCTAACCTTTTCCCGACAAGATACTGTCCGCTTTGGGCCTCTACACCCGCACTGATTTCGACTTGGGGTGCAATTCAGGGTGACTTCCCATAAGGTCACCCATCCTTGTTGTACTCCACACTAAGCACGTTTAACTTCGGAGTTCTCACAAGAACTCCTCCATTTCACCCCAAAACGCGTCTTGTCAGTTAAGGTCAGTTTCCTACTTATGAACCATGGATCTCTCCCGTGATTTCTCGATGTGGGATTTGCCTAAGGTGTTACAACAAAAACAGGGATCAACTAGTTGAACCAAAAGAGAACGTCCTCGATCAACCAAATGTTCCGACGAACTTCTCTATGGCTGATCAAAATCTCTAACACAACCTCTCCGATTCACCTCCACTTAATTCCCTTACCGCCTCCGTCCTCCTCTAAATCTCAACTTTCTCTGATTTTGCCCTTAATCTAACTCCTCGATCCGAATCCCGTTTCTGCGTCATTTTTTCCCTGTTTTTTTGGCTCTGTTTGATTGATGGAGTCATATCTCCTAGTGCAAGGTTCTATCTCCTTTTTAAGGCGTAGGGTTTAGTTCATATTCAGGGTTCTTCTTTGTTTCCAGGTTACAAAGGGAGCGAAAATTTAATCTTTAGAAGGAGCAGGTTTTTTTTATGATTGTGATGCAGGTAGGCTTGCGTTAGCTTCTTTCTCCAATTCGTTCCAACATTGTAATGTGAGCATCTTCAACTCAGTGGCTCTGTTTATCAAATTCGAATTTTGATGTTCATTGCTTGTGTTCTCATCATCGAAACTTCTGCCTTCCATGTTATGCTCGGAAGATGATGGGACCCTTGGTAGAAAACCATTTGCTTTTCAGAACTCCTTGCCCATTTCCACTCGGGAGCAGCTCAATATCCTTGACTCTTCAACAAGATAAACACCCCTAATTGCTCATGAATGAAAAGCAACTCGTGATTGAAATATGGATTCGTTAACTAAGTGATTAAGTTCCGTCCATCAAGTAGTTTCAAAGCTTTCCTATTATAGCAAAAGGACTGTAAGTAGAACCATTCTTTTTTTTTTTTTGGAGAGTACAGAAAACGTAGGGCATGATTCCAGAGTTGGTTTGGTTAATTTGCCAGCTAGAACTACTAGTGTTCTTGGAAGAGTGATTCATGAATGGTTTAATATCCCGGTACTTCATCAAAACAAGTTTGTTGTCATGCATTGAATCGCAAAGGGACATTTAGTTTATAGTTGTGTGTTTAGTCTTCATGAGTTAATTTTGGTGGTACTTATCACATGTCTCAATACCTTTGTGATTTACGTGGGTGATATCTTTTGATGTCTTGTTTTTAATTTTTAGACTTCCATTGGGTTTGACCCTGAAGTACATAGCTTTGAGTGTGTAGGTTAATCCCTTAGGGTTGTGTTGTTAATGGTCCTTAGAGTCCTTTTGTTCAGCATGTTTCATATGCAGATTTTTTGCCAGTTTCTTTCACTTGTCCATTTATTAAGCCCATACTGCTTGAGCATTATATAATCTGCACAAGTGTAACTGTGTGAATTTGCTGCAAGGCATAATGGATAAGTCATCGAGAAGATGATATATGCCTGGCTGGATAACGTAGTTTGTTTGCTTGCAGGTAAAGAGGAACTATGGGGGGTTTAAGAAGGTGAAAACCGAGAAGTATGAAGTCCATATTTTAAGTTTAGTATCCAATTTTAGTGACTATAAAAAGTAAGAGTGACATATTTGTTAATGCTAGCAGTCTCGTATCTGGTAAACAGAACAATGATGCTTAAATCTTGACTCTGAAGTAGAGTCAATGAAAGTCAAGCTAGATGCGATTCAACCAAATATATAGCATAATTAAAACTAGGATACATCTGGTGGCGAGCTTATTTGCAAACTTGTTTCTCATTGTATAATATTAGAAAATTTTATTGGGTTACAGGGGACATGAGTTGTCTTCGAAAGAGGTAGATAGAAAGGTAGAACTCAGTCTGAAGAGTTAATTGTGTGTTTCTATACAATAGAGCATGCCCTACAAAACACAATTCTATTTGTCATATCACCTACCAGTAACTCTGCAAACAAAACCATAGTTTTGATCACGACACTCTTTTCTTGACACTGTTGCTCCATCTGAACTCGAGCTCATAGCTCCACCAAGCTGTAACCTATTCACTCAGATCATTTAGACGTATTACAACTAAACCAGAAGCATAACTATAACGATTATCATTGAGTTGTCTCAGCCAAGCCAATGGGACAAACTAGTAGCTCTGGTTGCAGGTAACTTCTTGATTCAGCAAAATTTCTTGACAGCTTCTCATCTTTTCTAGTTCCCAATGTGTACATAGAAGATACTGACCTGCTCATTCTTCATTTGCTACAAATATGCAAGAGCTTTTTGTCTCGACTGCCACAAACAGAAACACACAGCTATCAGATCCTGTATAACAACAACAACAACAACAACAACAACAAACACTTTTTAAGCAATAAAAACTTACATTTTAATTATTGTTACCATGATTTACGAGGAAAACCTTCCGTTTAGGTGGGTGAAACTTGTTGTCTATTAATTGTAGTTGAAGTAGAAAGTATTTGAGAGCAAAATGTTTTACCACCTGCAACCTTCACTAACATTTGAATAGTGCCTTCAACACAAACAATAATAAATCAGAGGATAATAAGGAAAAGGATCATTATAGAGAGAATTTAACATCACTACTACATAACAACGAACCAATTTTTTTAGTTCAATCACTTGAAGAAGAGCATAGTTCGAATCTAACACCACTTCTACCGTGAATAGTAACATGAAATACAAAGGTTGCAAATTGTAATAGAGTATCACTACTCACATAACATCTAGAACCAGAAATAGGACAGCGGAGATCAATCGACATGGAGGAGGAGGAGGAGGAGTATCGCTGCTTCTCTCAACCGGCAAAAGACCATGTGTTGTGGTGGCAGCTCGGGAGTCACATTCACCTTCATCTTCATACCCTACATTGAACAGTAGTTCTCGTGGCTGCAGATGTAGTACAACTGAACTCTTCCCCACTGCAACAATGATGGCCATTCTTTTTCACCTCTAGCATTCGTACAGAGTATTTTTGGGCTATAAATCTACATACTTTGCAAGGCTAACTCATAAAAAGATAAGTGCAATGTGAGTAGATTGATCATCTTTACTCACAAGTATTGGGCTTGAAATGAATGGTAGAGTTTGCTTACCTTCTAGCTTGAGCAAGGCAGTTGTACCTGTCGGGAGTCAATTTTCCTGCAACAAAGAGAAGCCTAGAAAGCTAGGGCTGGGAAAGTAGACCAGACCGTTTGAAAAACCATGGTCCAAACCGGACCGCATAGTTTGGTTTGGACCGTAGACCGTTAAGTATAGTCTGGTCTAGTCCATGGTCTGTATTATATGGTGTTTTGATTTCTTGGTATGGTTGGTCTAGACCGCGGTTTGCCGGACCAAACCGTGGACCCAACAGCCTTCTCAATATGTGTTAGCAACCCACTCGACCACTCTCCCAATTCTCACAACGAAACCCAAGTCTCAATCTTAATTTTGAGAATCTCATCCCCTCCTTCATTCACAACCACATTTCACTAGAGAGTAGAGACGATCATGTATCCATATGACATTATGTAAATTTTTATGACGTTATAGTTCAAGTTGGGATTTTTTACTTTGTATCTTTATTATTTTACTGAGATTTATGGTGTCAAAATGATCCATACCTGTAGGAATTTAAGTTTTAAGGGAATAAAACATTTTTTCCTTGGCTATTAGTTAAAGTTTTTGTGTGGTTGACTAATTAAATTTTTCATTTTTTGTTCATTGTGATCTATCTGGACCAAACCGTACCGGACCAGACCGCACATGCGTGGTCTGGACCGTATAGTCTGTGGTATGGTCTGTGGTCTATACTCTAACCTCGCAGTTTGGACGGTAGACCGCATATATGGTCTGGTAGCCCTATAGAAAGCAGTTAGTTTCACATGATGGTACAACCCGTCTATTGAGTAACTCATCATGAACGAAAATTGAAATTTATGGAGTGGTCATGCCAATAGTAAAGGTCAAAAATTTTCGAGCCAAGGAGATAGCTGACACCAATCACGGAACTCTCCTATTGACGCTAATATACAGTTAAAGAATCATAGTCTGTAGAAAGATAAACTTCATATTCTGTTTTCCAGTTTCAGCCTCTTGCCGGGTTTTCATTGTCCATCGAAGGGATCTGATTTCGGATAGTGTGCAACTGCTTTACCAGTTGGGTAACTGTGAAACACCTGCAACATTCACAACCAATTGAATAGTGTCTTCAACACAAGCAATGACAACGCATAGGCAAAAACACACAGTAAGAACAAACAACCAGTGACATCAAATTGATTGGATAATGGTGATGTGCATATATTGAATTAAGAAAAGATATCAAAGGAGGCAGTAAGAACAAACACACCAAAGCTGCATAAAAATGCATCAACCACCCGATAAAGATTGAGTTATACCCTTCTAACAGGGATACCACAGATGAGATAAGAACATAAAGGAAGAAAACACAGTTGGCAAACTTAAAACATATATCAAGGACTCGAACCTCATACATAACTGCACTCCAAACTACATTATGAAACAACAATATGAGATTCATAAGAGACTAACTCTATCATAGACTCTGCTGCACCTTCTCATTTTAGCTACCAAAGAGTGGATTGATTTTTGTTTCATAAACGTGATGCAATCTTATTAATTTAAACAGAAGTTACAAGTGGATACAAGTCTGCAGTTATTACAACAAGTATGAAAAGAATACCACCAAAGCCCCATCTGTTCTTTTCTTACCTGAGGACCTATGAACCTAATCAAAGGGAGAATTCACAAAGTGACCAAGCTCTAATCCTACCATGATTTACAGTCACCACACCTATCAAACGATAGCATTACATACGCCAAATCATGACATCTAAAAGCATCAATTTCACTTCGAAACCTGCTGTGTTAAGCAAAGTCACAAATAATACCAAAAAGATTATCGTTCTCATGGGTCTTTTGCTTGTTAAAAATGGAAACAGACAACTTTGTATCAAAATCTAAGTTTCAAAAACTTTGAAGTTATTAGGGATTCCCTAGATTTTGAATTTGAAAGAGTTAATTATTTGTTTAGTTCATAAGATAGCCACAAATTTATACCTTTAAAATCTTATTATCTTAGCTACAAACAAGTCTATTTTTAAAGATTGAAACACAAAAATACAGCAGTAGCCAATAAGCCTGCCTAGATTCTCCTACTATAGTTCTGATATGGGCATTACTTGGCAACCCCAATCTAATTCGGCTAGGAAACCTTAACATTGAAACATGAGACAATTTACATAGTCAACCCATCCGAGCCTATTCAACTGGTACCACCACTATCTCGACTAATCCAAACGATCACAGTTACACTAAAGATGCCAACAGACCAAAGTTTCCATCTTTTATTTTATTGTGGTGACATAATTTTATTACTTAGAAAAATGAAACAGAGAGAACAAAGTTCCCAAACATCACAAGGCCAAAACGGATTGGCCGCAAAAACAAGTAGAGCACAAATCAAGCAGCAATGAAAAAGAAAAAAAAATCTGAGGAGACCAGCAAACAGCCTGCAGCAAAAGACAACTTTGTTGTTCATTCCAACATCCATGACATACCAGCTCAGTGAAAAAAGGAAGCTAGACCTAATTCACAAAAAAAAAAAAAAACGAATTGAATTACCAGGATTTGTTAGGGAATGTCGGAATTTCAAATTCCACTTCGTCAATAGGGAGGGTGCAAATGGAGGAGGAGGAATATGGTGAAGGAATATATTGTAGGGTACGAAGTTCCGATTGGAGTTGGTGGAGTTCGCCGAAGCAGTTTGGTATTCTCACTATATTTTCGTCGGAGCAGTTTGCACCGAGAGCTCGACGAAGACGCTCAGATTTTCTCTCCGTTTGTTTTTTGTTTTGTTTGAGGTAAAACTAAAATGCAGTTAAAAATTAAATCAATTTAAAATTAATTAGTGGAATATAAAACAAATAAAAAACGGTTGGTGTTTCCACAGGTGTTTTCGTCGGTTGGGTAGGACTTCGGTTTGGAAAATTCTGGGTTGTGATGGGTCGTGGTCTGAAACAAACAAACCAGCCATGCCACATAAGTCCACGTGGCCCAATCATTTTCAGCGTCACCGGTGCCACACTTTTAGAGCGGCACCATAGTACTAGCTTTAACCCGACCCATTGGTCGGATGAATTTTGTTTTATTTCTACTAATAAACTTCTTCATGATTTTGAATAATTTGAGATTTTCTAAAGTATTTAATTCATTATTTAAAAATAATCTTTGTTGTATTTTTTGATTATGACATTAGCGATAATTAGTTAATGTATATTTTTAATCAAGTCGTCGTAGTGTACTGTTGTGTATTTTTTTCATATCTTAGAAGAAATTTACGAACGTTTTATTGTCGTATATGAATTTAGAGTTGAAAAGAAATTATGTCATCTCGATTTGGTAGGAATTGAAGGTATATTAAAAAATCAAGAGAATAACGAAAAGATTGTGCATAGAAATCTCAAATATGCAAGAACACAAAAAATAATTTTTATTGTATAAATTAAGATAATTTAGTGTATAGGCTTGTTTGAATAAAAAGTGGGTGTTGTTAAGTGTTTGATACTAATGCACGTACAATAGTTAAGAAAATCCAAACATTATAAAACCTTAAATTCCAATCTACCAATACGATCTTTGCTTTTTATGTGGAGTTAATAGCATGAATTGTTACTCTATTATCTATTTTTCTCAAATTTATCCCTCCGCTATTTTTTACATCAAGCATGCCCGCGTACTATATAGTATATACGTTTTAACAAATTAAATTTACCCTCATTTTGTGGCTTATCTTCTCCATCTGCAACTCCTAATAATTACTAGACACAATGTCATCATACATCTGTTTCACTTTCTCTTCCTTCGACCCAACAATAAATATATGCAAAAACTTGTCTGTCACGAAAGAACCTTGAAGACCGACTTTTGAATTTCAACCACTATCTGAAAGTCCACAATTATTGATCGATTCGACTCAATCATAAAAATTTGAACCCAAAATTTTTAGAATATCTGGATTTCAAATTATCAAAGGTTGTTAACCCGGTTTAGCCCGTTGGTCCGGTCGATTAAGTGGTTGAGGGTTACAGGTTCAATCATTTTAGTCCGCTTTTGCCCGGATATATGTAAAAATCATTATATTGTTCATATATTTATAAATTATCTAAAATCTCATCTACATATGGATAATATTCTTCCTCACCTGGACTATCTACATTTGTTTCTCTACCTGCTACTTTCCGCTATCCTCCTTCGAGATCATAAAAAGCACTCCAACAACATGTATTCATCACATGATAAAGGTCGCACTCCTATGGCGACGGTATTTGTGTTGGATGTGGAATTAATGAGGAACGACCAAGTGAGAATTGAGCGTGGGGTGTTTGTGAGGGAAGGCAATATGTGATGGAAGGCGATTTCTGCCAGTAGTCTCTTTGTCTACCGAATTAACTCAACATATTTAGCTTACCAATTTGCGGAGTGGGAGCTAGAATGGGATCGTAAGAGCGTACATTATTTGACAATGATAATTTGAGTGTGCCGAAAGAGTGTGACTATTATATTAATTTAATTAATATATCACTTAACTTACTAACATGTTTTGGTTAGAATATTAGCGGAAAAATAAAAATATTTTAGTAGAATGATAGCTTTAAATAATCTGATTAGGACCAAAAAAGAAACATACTTCAAAAGTTGAATAGAAACTCACCAAATTTTACAATACTATTTTGGGCTAATACCACTACAACACCCGAACTATCGCGAAAATGCCACTTGTGTCCTATTGTTTCCAATATTCCATATGTGTCCTGAACTATGATTCCGTTAGTGTTGACTTTTGTTGACTGTTAATTTTTAACAGAAAGTCCAGTCAGCATCTACGTGGCATTTGACATGGAATTTTTAATTTCGATAAAATAAAAAAATAACAAAAATAAAAAAAGGGAAATTCCTTCCTTTCCCCATCTTTCATGCTTTCCCGTCTCTTCTCCAATCCATTGTTGCCCGATAGATACAGTGGCCGCCAAGAGGAGAGTTCACCCTTCTTCTCCGGCTAGATCTGTCTGACTCTCCTACAAATTACCCACGTTAATCCTATCACCAGAACTCATCCAGCAATTCTCCATGCCGCCAATCCCTTCCAGATCCCCAAACTCGAATTTAGGGATTGCAAGCGCGCCGCCTTGATCCCCCCAAGATATTACCCATTGAGACGAAAACGAGGGCAGAGGAATAATCCATGGCATCGTCAATACACTTTGGCATATTTCGGTGAATTGACGACTGCCTTTTCCCCGTAGTCGGACCCCACTTCGGCGTTGGCGGTTCCAAAATGATATCGTCTTCCTCGGATTTTGTTTCTTTTGGCGGTGGAAGTGTCCGATTCAGGCGGATCCTCTGGTGTCTTTCCCATCGATTCCTACAGCCCTTCGCCGCTGCTCTTTCCATCGCCTCTGCTTCTGCCAAAATCTCAAGATCTGGTGTTTCGAACTCAACCTACTAGCGCCAATAACCACCTCTTCCTAGATCCATCTCTAATAAGTACTCCTTCCGCAATCGTGATGGCAAGACCACGACAAGTCAAAGGAATGCCGCTGAATCTAGGATCTTGGCGCGATGAAGAACCACAACACAATCAGCCGCTGCTCGAGGGGCAAATCTGGGTTTTTTGAGGTCGTGTAGCAAAACAAAGGAATTGATGGACACCGATTTCATTAAGGTGGGGGAAGATTGGAAAGTTTGGGGGTCTTTGTTGTGTTCTTTTCTATGGGATGAGAAGTGGTGGACGATGAAGAGGGGTTTTTGGTGGCGAGGAAGAAGAGATTCTGCAGGGGAATTTTGGGTTGGGACTTTGCACCAATGGAGAAGGAGAATCATTTTGGAACCGCCAATGGAGTGAGAGGAGATCTATTTCCATTTTGATTTTGTTTTAATTTTAGTTTTTTTAATGCTATAATTGAATTTACAGTTTTTTTAATTTTAACTCAATTTTTATTTAATTGAAATTAAAAAATATTAGGTTAGTGACGTGGCATCTATGTGGCAGCCTGATTTTTTGCCACGTCAACAAAAGTCAACTTCGCGTTGACCACCGTTTGGTCAACTGTTATCTTTAACGGTCAACAAAATTGACAGGATACAAATGACACAAAGTATCATAGTTCAGGACACAGATGGAATATTGGAAACAATAGGACACAAGTGGCATTTTCGCGATAGTTCGGGTGTTGTAGTGGTATTAGCCCTACTATTTTTAGTTTTTTTATTAAACTTTATAGTTTTATTTTATTTAAAAGAAAAAGAAAAATGAATACATCATTTATCCACCCCATGCACTCAATTAGTTGTTAATAAAAGAATCTATATCTTCTTCTTCCCCTTAGATTCTTTGTTTCCTGAGCCGACGCTGGACATCTCTTGTAGATGTACCTAATTGGCAAATTCTATATCATCAGCCATCTAACTAACCTCATATCCTTTATTTAGCCCTAAGCCCATGATTTGATCTAATTCACAGTCCCAATTCATGAACTCGTGGTGTATCATTTTCATGTTTGCTCTCCGGATCTATGACTACACCGCAAGAATTTCTTTCTCCCACGAAGAAGCGGGTCATCGTCTTCGAGTCAAAGCTGCTGATTGTGCTATAACTGGTTTCATTTTACTTTGTTATTAAATCTGTCCCTCTACTATTTTTCACATCAAACATATCCACGTACTATAGATTATATACGTTGTAACAAATTAAATTTACTCCCATTTTGTGGCTTATCTTCTCTGTCTGCAACTCCCAATAATTAATAGATACAATCCCATCATTCATCTATTCCGCTTACTCTTTCTTCGACCCAGCAATAAAAAATGCAACAACTTATCTGTCACGAAGGAACCTTGAAGACCGACTTTTGAATTTCAACCACTCGCTGAAAGTCCACAATTATTGATCGATTTGACTCAATCATAAAAATTGGAACCCAAAATTTTTAGAATATATGGATTTCAAATTATTAAAGGTTGCCAACCAGGTTTAGCCCGTTGGTTCGGTCGATTAAGTGGGTTGAGGTTTAAAGGTCCAATCATTTCAGTACCCTTTTGCCCGGATATATGAAAAAGTCATTATAATGTTCATATATTTATAAATGATATAAAATCTCATCTACATATGGATAATATTCTTCCTCGTCCGGACTATATATATTTGTTTCTCTACCTGCTACTTTCTGCTATCCTCCTTCGAGCTCCTAAAAAGCACACCAACAACATGTATTTATCACGTGATGAAGGCCGCACTCCTATGGCCACGGGGTGTGTGTCAGATGTGGAATTAATGAGGAACGACCAAGTGGGAATTGAGCGTGGTGGTGTTTGCGAGGGAAAGTAATATGCAATGGAAGGCGAGTTCTGCAGTAGTGTCTTTGTCTACAGAATTAACTCAACGGATTTAGCTTACAATTCGCGGAGCGGGAGCTAGAATGGGAGCATAAGAGCGTATATTATTCGAGAATTATAATTTGAGTGTACCGAACGAGCATGAATATTATATTAATTTAATTAATATATCATTTAACTTACTGTTTGAGCCTCGACGCCCTGCCGACACGCCTTCGTCTTTTCAGACTGAATGCCTACACACACGAGCACAGAGGGGGGGGGGGGGCGCTTCGGCCCGTTAGCCCTCCAACGATCCAGTCAGTATTTGAGAGAGAAGTGCTTTGGAGCAAGAGTTTTAGTGAGAGAGTCCAACCTGTGTAAATGCTACCAACTGCCCCTATTTATACTCACCGAGTTCGAGATGGATCTCCTCCATGTCACTGTCACATTAAATGCC